AGGCGGCCCACGCGGCGACGACGCGACGCGTGGCGTGGCGGGGCCGGGCAGGGCGGGGCGGGGCGGGGCGAGGCGGGGCGGGGCGCGCGAGGTGCGACCGTGCCGCGCCGTGCCCGCCGAGTCCGGGGTCGCGTCGGGGTGACCGGAACCCGGAGCGGAAGGTCGAGTGGGATCGAATCGAATCGAGTTTTCGAGAGCAAGCGCGGCGTGGCCGGGCGTGGCAGGGCGTGGCAGGGCGTGGCAGGGCGTGGCAGGGCGTGGCAGGGGCAGGGCGTGGCGTGGCGGCGCAGCGCGGGGCGTTGGCGCCAGAGACAGGACAGGCCCGCATCGCAGATGGAAAAGTTGGAGCGAGAATGTTTTGATCCAATAACACAATCGCCTCGCCGGGCTGCGCCGGGCTGCCGGGCCGCACCCTCGTTACAGATTGAACACCACCACTGGCAACCAAGTTGGGGCTGTAAGGGCTGGAAGCGCTGTGAGAGCCGGAACGAGGAAAATGGCCTCGCCGGGCTTCGCGGAACAAAACGGGGGCCCTTTGGACGTGACGCACTTGACAGACCGAAGGATGGGGAAAGGGGGCTTCCCAGGGCGCGCTACTACTCGAGGGCCGAGCCGAACCCGCCCTGCCGCCGCCCCGCCGGCTGGCCGGGACAGGCCGGGACTGCCGAGACTCACGTCCGAAAGGGGTATTTACTCCGGGGCGGCGGCAGGGCGGCAGGGCCAGTGGGGCTGCGGGCCGGACTCGACCGTTCCCCCTGATTGGTGGTACACACGTCGATAGCGCTATGTACTCACTGAGTTTGGTGCCGTGAGATGTAGGGGAAAAGGGGGCGGGGGCATTGGCGCCGCCACTGCCGCCACTCAGACTGTCTTATTGCGGGCGGAGGGCCGCCGAGGTAATCCTCCGGGGAGGCCGAGCCGAGGCGCTACCGTCCTCGCTCCCGGGTCGGAAGTTCGCGGTTCAAACACAACGGCGACTCGATTTTCTTTTTTTTTTGCAGCCGTGAACCACGACTGCTCGGGCGCGCGGGTGTCCAGGAGGACGGCGACCCCGAAGAAGCACTAAAGGGTCTGAAGGAAGCGAGGGGCGCGGTGGGGGTCCCGCTGAGGCACTAGATGTCCTCGAACTGGCACACGGTGGATGGGATGGCCCCAAAGTGACACCGGCTGGCTCCAGCACTAGCGGCTGGGCACTACGGCGTGGAGGCGCGGGGCATCGCGGGGCGGCGCGGGGTCGCGGCGCGGGGCGGGGCGGGGTGGGGGCCTCCAGGTCCAGATCGATACGCCACGGCTCGGGCACGGCGGCACGGCGGCACGGCGGCACGGCGGCACGGCGCGCCAGGCAGGCCGTCTAGCCCAACACATCGTCGCCACACCGCGGCGCTGCACGGCAGCAGGGCCAGGACGGCGGGCCAGGACGACGGGCCAGGACGGCGGGCCAGGACGACGCCGGGGCAGGACGGCGGGCCAGGACGACGCCGGGGCAGGATGACGGGGCCAGGACGACGCCGCGGTCAGGTCGGCGGGAGCACCGCGCTGCGACACGCCGCCCCGCTCAAACAATAAGGCGGATTGTAATTGGTGTTGACCCAGGGCAGTGCCGGCCGAACCGGGCCGAACGGGGCCGAACACGCCCCGCCGTCGTCGCAGCACTAATTGGAGCCGGCGCGCTGCAGCCGAGCCATTCCGAAGAGTCTCCCCGTCGGTCTGCCTCTCTCGCACCCCTGCGGGACGCCCAATGAGTGCGACAGAGACGAACCGGCTCTTCGGAGTGGGCCCGCGGCCTGCTGGCCCGCTGCAAGGCTGGGCGAGACTCTAGGCTGGCCGGGGCGAGGCCCGCGAGGCGCGCCGCCCAACGATATTCCATTATTGATGGGCACTACCTCGGCTGCTTTGTCGACCCGCGGCCCCGTCGGCCCGCCGGCCCCAGTGACCCCGGCGTGGTGCGGGGCGCGGCCAGCGCGGCCAGCGCGGCACCGCGGCGCCCCTTTCACGCGCCGACCGGGCCAATACCGTAATGAAAGTAGGCGGCGCCTCGATGCCGTGCCTCGACGCCGTGCCTCGACGCCGTGCCTCGACGCCGTGCCTCGACGCCGTGCCTCGACGCCGTGCCTCGACGCCGTGCCTCGACGCCGTGCCTCGTCGCCGTGCCTCGACGCCGTGCCTCGACGCCGTGCCTCGACGCCGTGCTCGGCCGTCACGTGACCCCCTGCCGCCGCGTACTCGTTAATCGTGATGACGGGTCGGGCCCCTCTCGGCGCCGTAATGTATCTCGGCTCCAGTCGGGGGTGGGAAAAGGAAAAATGACGTCCCTTTAGGGCGGCGGCTTTGGCGGCCCGGCCCAGCGAGGCGATGATGTGGAAGAATATGAGGCCGGGTCACAAGTCAATGCGCAAGGCTGCTCCCACACAATTATGGAGAGCGGCGGCCTTTTTATGCAGTGCGCCATAATGGCAGCCCCGCCGCACCATGGCGCTGATCCACTGGAACGCCACGTTAGCTCTCGCCCCAATTCTTCCATCCAGAATCCAGAGCCGCGCCGGGCCGCCGCCCCCGGCAGCCCCCGGCAGCCCCCGGCCCCAGCGCGCTCGTCTGCCACCCACCTCAGCGCCGCCGCCACCAGCCCCCGGCCCCCGGACCCCGTCCCCCCGGCCGCGGCTGACCGACGGCACGGCGCGCGACAGGGCGTCTCCCTCATCACGATGATGTCGTCCCGCTTGGGTTCCGCGCCACGGCGCACGGCTCGAGAGATAGCGCCACCACCATTGTACGCGCGTCGCGGCCAAAGAGAAGGAAATGGTACAAGTGCCGCCGCCTTTGCATCATCGGCCCGGCGACGCTCGGCGGCTCCACTTCAAGCGCGATATCTGCGTACCTTCAGCGCGCTCCGTCCTTCTGCCACAGTGTGCGTGCGTGCGTGCGTGTGTGTGTGTGTGTGTGTGAGTGTTCCCGCAATCCTTCAAAACGTCCAGCCAGCCAACGAGGGTCTCAGCTGCACCGCGGCGCAGCCCATCCAGCGGCTCCGGCAAGACCCAGCTCCCCGGAGGCCGCGGCGGCCGCGACCGGCGTCGTCATGGCGACGGGGCATTCACGGGAATGCAGTGCGCCGCTAAGCCGCGATGCAGCGATGCCCCCCCCCCCCAGCACGCCCCGCCCCGCCGTCAGCGGAATGAGTCATTGCGACCCTCTTTTTTGGACGTGTGAGAGCGCTTGCGTGTCTGTGTGTGTGCGTGTGTGTGTGTGTGTGTCACTTGGGCTTGGATTCCTCAGGTGGCACTGGCGCGCGGGGACTCGGAATAAATGCATATGCATGCAGGGAGTAGCCAGTAGCCTCGGCTGCCCAGGCTGCTCTGGCTGCCATCGAGAGTCACGAACGACAGCCGACGACAGTCCACAGTGCCGCAGTTCGCAGTGCCGCCACCGCGACGCCGCCGTGAAGCCGCTCCACTGGCTGGGTCTGCATCTCTCGGACAAGTAGCGCGGAGAAAGAAGCTCACGGGGATCAAGCCAACTGGATTAAATAGATTTTCTTGCCACACGCATACCCACACACACGCACACGTACGTGCGTGCGCGCCTCCGGGCGAGCGAATTAGCATAGCCGCGCCGTCGGCTTTTTTTTACTCTTTTCATTCGCCCCGTTCCTTGGCAGTGTACCCACTCAAACATGACGCAACGCTGTGTCAACAGCCTGCGGACGCGGCCACCACCGACCACACTGGTTTTCCTCGTGAGCGTCAAGTCGGGGTTCTCCGGACACTCCAACCCCAGCCGTGTCCGGCGCGGCCCCGCGCGGCCCCACCGACCTTGACATGAGCCGCAGCCGAGGGGTTACCCACTCCGGGAATCGTGTGTACACTCAGTCCGGGAATCGTTCGTAATTTGCTCAAAATTTTATCGAAAATCTTAAAAGTTTCAATGGAGAGGGATATGTAATAGACACAAAACACTCAAAAGCTAAGAAAATCTTCGAAAACCTCTCCTTTTATGCAAGATTTGTTCAGGAATCGCGGGAATCCGGAATCGTGTGTACGTCCAAGTACCGAGTGGGTAACCCCTCGGCCGCAGCACCTTCTTCGCCTGGAACTTCGCGCGCGGCCGGCCAGGCAGACAGACAGGCAGCCAGGCAGGCAGGCTCTTCCTCAACGCGGTTGCATGTTTTCCACTCAATTAACCGTCGGCGCCACGACGCTGCCCGCGTGCAGGGGCGTGCAGGGAATCGTGATAAATTAATTGACACCAATCTATCCGGAGCCTGGCGGGCTGGCAGGCTGGCGCCGCCTCGCTGCCCCGTTCGGGCCCCGGTTCGGGCCTCGGTTCGGGCTTTCGCTTCTTCGGTCTCCGTCCTGGCAGTCCTGGCAGTCCTGGCTGACTCGCCACTATCCCCCTAGGTAAACACGCCGATGCTCCCTCCACTTTGCTCCAGGATTGAAAGGGCGGGAGGGTCGGGGCCTCCCGGGCCGCTTGCCGCCCCTGGCCGCCCCTGGCCGCCCCTGGCGCCGGGCGGGGCGGGCTAAGGGCGGGCTAAGGGCGCGCCCGCTGTGGCTCGAACGGGGTGGGAAAAAAAGGAGTCTCCCCGCTGGCTTTGTAAAGCGGCGGAAGTAACGATTGCGACTCTGCCAACCTTCACCCGACTTTGAATCGTCATCACCGCGGAGGCTTTGGAGTGCTGCTGCACCGTGCTGCGCCCTGCTGCGCCCTGCTGTGCGCTGGGGGAGCGGACGAGGGGCTTTACGTACTGAAAACAATCGGAGCGCTCGCGCTCAGACACTGTGAACATGGTGAACATGGTGTACATGGTGCACATGGTGAACATGGTGAACATGGCGAACATGGTGAACAGGGTGAACATGGTGCACATGGTGAACATGGTGAACATGGTGAACATGGCGAACATGGCGAACACGGTGAACACGGTGAACACGGTGGACACGGTGAACATGGTGAACATGGCCAACATGGTGAACATGGTGAACATGATATCCTCTGTTGTGTTCCAGGACTCGCCGTCCCAGCGGCCGCCTGCGATGACTCGCTGACCGTCCCCGTCCCCGCGGCCCGCGGCCACCACAATGTAAGTGCGCTGTGCTTGGCGCTTCGCGCTACGCCTTCGCCCTCTGCTCGGCTCGGCCGGGTCCGGGCGCCGCCTTGTGTCAATGTAATCACCGCCTTCAAATCGGCAAAATGCGGCCCCACCCAGCTTCGGCCCCCACCTGCCGAGCACGGCGCGCGCGTCTTCGCTGCCTGCCTGTCTGTCTGCCTGCCTGTCTGTGCCACCCCAATCAGGTTTACAAACAAACCCGCTCGGGGCGGGCTCTTCGGTTTTTCGCTTGGTTTTCCGTGGCGCCACGTGCAGGTGGCGCTCTGTTGGCAGCCGCTGCAGCGCCTCGGGGCCTCACCTTTCTTTGGCGGGGCCCGGCCTGGGGGGCAGCGCGGGGCAGCGCCGAAAGGGCACACGCCCCGCCACGCCCCGCCACGCCCGCACGCCCCGCCACGCCCCGCCACGCCCCGCCACGCCCCGCCACGCCCCGCCACGCCCCGCCCGCCCCGCCACGCCCCGCCACGCCTCGCACCCCACACCCCGCACGCCGGGGGACGGTCTGGGTTGTTGACACAATGCGAAATGGCGGGGTGGGGGTAAGGCGAGCGAAGTAGAGTATATAGGGCGCCGTGCTGGGTAATTTCACGCTCTGCTAGATGGTAGAGAGGGCGGAAAGAGTCGAAGAAGCGAACGGACGGACGGACGGGGACGGGGGCGTGTCCGAAAAGTTGCTATCATTTTGGGGCGCGCATTTGCTGACCAACTTTGTCCACTCTGGGCTGCAGGGTTGTTTATGCCCCGCACCTTGCCCGCCGCGTCGCCGCATCCCCGGTGTCTCCACGGCGGCCTCGCCCTCGAGGTGGTCCTGCGCTGCAGCGGCGGCAGCGGCGTCTCTCTCCAGTGTGGGGCACACCGCGCCGCGCCACGCCGCTGTCGTGGGAATCGTTCGGAGACGTTCGGGATTTCGCCGAGAGTTTTGGCGCCCCGCCTCGCTTTCCCGGGCCCGCAGGTCTTGACGTCTTACTTTGTGGCGTCGCCGCGTCGCGCCGTATCTCGCTATATGAATGCCGCGGAGCCGCCGAGCTGTCAGCGGGGACTCCGAGAGAGTCGAACGGCGGCGCCGCGGGGCAGCGGCAGCGGCGGCAACGGCGTGCCGGATACAACCCCGGCACCACACAGCCTCGACGCCAGCACCAGCGCACCGCAGGGCGGGCTCTCCGTTTCGGAAACGGGCACCCGGCCGAAGCAGAGGCCGAAGCAAGCGCCTCCCAGCAGGATGATGCCGAGCACGGCTTGCTCTGTCCCTCTCGTACTCGCGTCGTCTCCGAAGGGTGCGAGAGAGACAGCGCCGAAAGCAGTGCTCAGAATCAGCCTGCGAGAGTGCGGGCGGGCCGGCCCGCCGAACGCCGTCGCGTCGCATGGTTGCCTACCCTGCGTTCCGCAGGCGCTCGGCGCCCGCCGCGGCGCCGCAGCCAGTGTTGCCATTTTGCCGTGTGGGCAAAAATTATCCAGTGATCCCGATTGAGTGATTTTGCGCTCCTGCGGCAGCCCGGTTTCTGGAGGATAAGACGGTCGTGGCGCAATGACGCGGTGCGAAGTGGTTCCAAGTTGTTGTTCTGAGATGGGCTGCCCGATAGCGGCAGTCCAGGTGTGTCTCGTGTGAGGCGTTGGCACTACTTGGCACTGGCCAGCACGCACAACAGGCAGGGCTGTTGCACCACGGCAGTGTAGCCGCTCTACGGCGCCACTGCCCCATGGCCCCATGGGATCGACGATCCACGAATCGGAATGTCCGCCGCGCCGCAGTCCTTTTGGTTCGGAAACACGCACTGCTCTCTCCGAGGAAAAGTCCGCGGGAAGTGCGGTGAATTTCCCGACCGCTTTGACGGGTAACGACCGCGGCCAAGACGCTCCCTGCGAGGAAACGCGCCATCGCACTGGCGGGAAGAAGAAAAATAATCCACATCGATCGATCCTTTCTCGCAGTGTGTGCGTGTGTGCGTGTGTGTGTGTGTGTGTGTGTGTGTGTGTGTGTGTGTGCGTGTGTGCGTGTGTACACGTGAGAGCGGAGCAGGGCCGTTTGTAGGATGGCCCGAGATTGGCGTACCTGGCGTGCCCCACCTCACGCAGCGTCTCGCAGCGTCTGGCACACCGGCGAGCCTGTTGCCGCGCGGAAGCCCTGAAAAGGAGACGAATGGGAAGGCAAGGGAATGAAACCAAACAAAACAAGACTCGAAATTCCGAAAACGAAAAAAAGGAGCGGCATGCACCGCGACGCCGCCGCGCTGCCGCCGCAGTGACGACTGGTGACGACTCTGTTGGCGCGGCTGTCTTCACTTGGCGCTGCTTGCGCTGCTTGCAGTGACGCGACCGCCGCGGGAAGGAGAGGGCCTCCGAGTTCCAGGTTTCCAGGCTCCAGGCAGCCGCGCTTTCCTGGAAAAGTTTGGACGCGCCCCCTTTGTAGAGCAACAACATCGGCTGGTGTATCGGCACCGCACGGCGCACAGTGGAGCGTTCAAGTCCCTTTTAGTAACTCTGCAGGTCAAAACGTCTCCAGGATTTTGACCGCTTCCACACCGGTCTTGTGACCCACTGTGCATTGCCCTGCTCTCTCAGGTTAGGTCAGACTAGCCGCGGCTGTTACGAAGTTGGCCAAAAATAGCCACCGAAAAAAGTCACCAAAGTTTGGAGGGGGAAAAAAGATAGAAAATACAATCAACTGGCAGCAGGGCGCAGGTGAAGCAGGGCGTCGGCAGGGCGGGCAGGCTGCGGGGCAGGGTAGACCTGGTGCCATCGATTTGGCCCTACGGCGCACACGGTGTCTGCCCGAGAGCCACTACGCAGTTCGGCCCGCGCCCCGCCCAACCCCACCCCGCCCCGCCCTGCACACCACAAATATTTATGGCCATTAGTAGCGGCTTTAAGCCCCAGTGCGAATCCTGCCAGCCACTCATCGGCTCCATTATTAATTGAAAAGAAAAAAATTATCGCTACACAAACGGTGTTCCGCGCAATACACTGCAGGAATTTCATAACCAATCTAACAACTGAAAAAAAAATCACATCATAAGAACAAAATGGTGTATTGTTGCAGTAGCGCGCGTGTCGTGTGGCGCCAACGTGTAGCGAGCGATGTGATACGCTCCGGTGTAGAAAGGAAAGCAATATCATCGCACGGAAGTGAAGAATGCTGGGCACCAAGCTGCGACCTTACGTCACACACACAGACACACGGCGGTGTGACGTGCGCGTTACCAATCCATTCTCCCTGGTAGTCGCTCGCGAGTCCCTCATGCACGGATTGAGGCGGGAAGACAATTTGGGGCCCGGCGGGCCGATCGTGGCCGGCACACACACACACGCACACACACACACACACACACACACCACACACACACATTGTGGATTCTTCGGCGCTCCACGGCCGCGGCGATGCAACTGAGGCCTCGGCGTGCACTTTGCGGTCCGAGGCAACCACACCCGGACCGGTCCAGTCCGGGTGACGTCACTGCGCGTGACGTGTCGCCCGGTCTCGTCACGTCACGTCGGCGGGTGACGACATGGCCCGGGTGGTCCGGGTGGCCCGTCCGGGTCGGCGGGCGGTCATGTTCGCCGCACCTGTACACCTGTAGGTACCGCACGCAAGCGACGCAAGGCTGCGGCCTGATTGGGTGGGGAACGCTCTTTTTTTGCCGATCTTTTTGGCGGTCGTTTTCCACGTCGCGCTGTGGGAACGGCAGGAGTGCTACCGGTGTAACCGTGATGCAACGGCAATGCTAATCCGGCTGTATCGCTGTATCGGCCCGATCCATAAAGCGGCCCGGACGCCGGACGGACGGCCCCGCTGGCCGACTAGGCCGTCGTCGTGGCCGCTCGGCCCAAACTCGGCTCGACTCGGCTTGGCCCTCTCGGCCCGGCCGCTCCTCTGCCGCCAAAAGGCGATCGGAAACGGTGGCTGATTTACGAGAAGGCCGCGTAAAATGGGAACCCGTTCTGGAGCCTCCAGCAGCCTCCAGGAGCAAGCGCGCTGGCAGGCCGTCCGTCCGGCCGCCAGGCAAGCAGGCAGGCTGTCGGGGTGACTGTAAAACCAAAACGTGCGGCTGCCCGGTAAAGTTCAGCGCCGCTCGCCTCAAACTAGACTCGGAAGGAAATAAAACTCTCGCCGCTGTCAGACGGGACACTCTCTCTCTCTCCGCTGGCGCCGCTGGCGGGGCCTCGGGGAAACGGCAACGGCGCGCATTATTTTTGCCCCCAGATTTGGATCGCCGTAAGACTTCCGACCGGAACTATCGCAGCCTAGATCTTGTTGTCGGCGCCGCGGACAGGCCGACAGGCCGGCGGGCCGGGCGCGCCGCTGGCACCGGGCCGACGACGGCGACGTCGCCGCGGAGAGGACGGCGCCGTGCTCGTCGGAGGCCGCGGTGAACCTGTTGCGGCGCACCCTCGCCGCTCTCGCCTCGCGCTCATCAACGCCACCGCGATCCTCGCATCACCGCCGCCCAATAATATTTACTTGACTCCAATTTTCCAGCGCGCTGCACCTTCGGCGCGCTCCCCGGCGCAGGGCGAGGCGCAGGGTGTGGGGGGGGCGCGGTGCGTCGGAGCGCGGGCTCAATATTCTGACACCTTTCGGTCCTCACACGCGGCCTCCATCCCCCCCCCCCCCCCCCCCCGGTGCTCTGCAGCGGGGCGTGCGTGCGCGTGGAGCGGCGGGCCTCGACGGCGAGGGCTGCAGTGCGGTGGTGCAGTACACTGTCGTCCGAAATAACGGACCGGATCGTTGTGAAGGATGGCGCCGTCGTCGTGTTGGCCGCACTGATGAGCTTCGTCGTCGTGGTGGTCCCCGCCGCCCCGCCGCCCCGCCGCCGCCGCGCCATCGCCTTGCTGATCGCCACTTCCCCACGGGGCCCGACAGGGCCGCGCTGTGCCGCGCTGGCCGGCCGGGGCGTCGCGACGCCGTGGCGCTGTGCGGTGCTCTGCTGCGGCGCCCCGATGAGATGCCGCGGGGATTTGATGGCCATGGCGGCATGGCCCGGGCCGGTCCGGGCGGCAAAAAGCGGGCCAGCAGGCTCATTCCGAACGGCACTCTGGTCGCGCCGTCTCGCACTCACGCGGCGTGCGGCTGGGGCCGAGACGGAGCGAACTCCGGAGCGCTCTTCGGACCGCCAGGCCCACCCAAGCAGGGCGACAGGCGGCGCCGCGCCCCAGCCATGCGCTCCGCGGAGTGCGCAAGCCGCAGCTCTCGATAGACAGCTGCAACCTCACAAGCTACTTCTTCTCTGCCAAGAATTAAGTCTTGCTTGTGCGCGTCTCGTTGCCGGTCGCTGCTTCGTGATTTTTAACCTTTTTTTTTGGTCGTGTCGTGACACTTCTTAATCAAGCTCGCGCCGTCTCGGAGGGACGCACCGTTCTTGTTTTTCACCCCCCCCCCCCTTTTCAACGCCCCTTTCCTTTCCGACGCCCTCTTTCCACTCGCCCACCTCAACGGCCAGCGACGAATGGCTATCGTATGTCATGCTGTAGTGCCACTGCATTGCGCCCTCTCTCGCACCCACCGTGGCCGCGCCCTGCGAGTGCGAGAGAGACAGAGCGCTGTTCGGAGTCAGCCTGCAAGGGCGCGAACAGGGCGGCTACCTGGCTAATGTGTCCTGGAGGCGATAAGGTAGCAGGTAGCCCCGGGCACCCGGCTGCCCCGTGGGCCGTGGGCTGCAGCCCAGGCCGGCCACTGTAGGTCCGCCCGCGGAAATTATGGCACTTGTCGTCCCTTTATTCGTGGCCCCTCCCCCTTTTTGTGCGCGCGGACTAATAACTCGCCCCGGGAAACAAATGTCGGTTTCCTCCACAAAAGGTACGACCGGCCGCGCGTAGCGCGTTCCGCCGGCCGACCGCATGGCGCGATTTTTCAACCCGGAAAAACCGGCCGACCGCATAAAAAAGCTGAAAAACGACGCGCCGCATCGCTAAAGTATCGAGTGACGCGTGTTTGTTTTGGACTTTGTTTTCGGCGCGATTCGATAAGCCGCGCGTGGCCGCGGTGGAAACACTAATCCGCCGCCGTTCGCGCACGCGAAGCACGCCCGCGTGAAACCAGTGAGACCACCTCTGCGAGGCTGGACGGGGAGAGTCCGTCAGTTCGCTGCTCGTCGGCAGCGTGCTGCAACCAGATCCCCGGCGAGGCGCCTCCGGCTTTTTGTCTGGGAACGGAAAGCCGAGATAAGACGCCGGCTAGGCTCCTCGATAATTTGCTAATTTTTTTTCCGCCCCTCTTTTGTCTCGGCGGCTTGGCCCTGCTTCGGGCCGTGCTACCTCTCGGCAACTTACGGACGCCCCCGCCACCCCCTCCCCTCCCCTCCCCCGCCCGGCCCCTGTTCCGCCCTCTAATTACATTCGCCCTTCGCTCGATGAAGACACTTGCAACCCTCGAAAATAAATGAAGCTAGTAGGAGCCCCTTGGATCCAGCGGCGTCAGGGGAGGAAGAGCGAGAGAGAGGGAGGTACAGAGAGGTAGAGGGCGGAGGGAGGCGGCGCCGAGAGTCCCGGTCGGCACGCTTCCGCTGCTTCCGCTGCTTCCGCGTCGGCCGGTTAGTCCTTTCGGTATTTAGTTCCGAGGACGTCGAAGGAAGACGGCTTCCTGGGACAATGCGGGGGCCGAAGGCGGGGGCCGAGTCATTTCTCCGAGCGGAATAACTTTCACTCAGAAACTCGAAAAGAAAATAATCGGATGGTCGCGGATTTGTTTTGTGCAGGAGGAAAGTTCGTGGGGTTTTGCTCCACCGTTAGCGCCTGCTGCGCCTTCAGGTAGCGGCTTCGGTCTGTGCTAGTCAGCGAGCGTGTTTGCGTGGGTGTTGTGTGTGTTTGCGTATGCGTCGTGCTTGTGTGCGTGTGATCAAAGGCAGGACGTCTGCCTTAATTCCAGTGCGCACTCGGATATGAGGCGGAGCCCTGATTGGAAGGGGGAGGGAGACCCTGCAGCCCTGCAGCCCTGCAGCGGCCGGGCCGTGACGGGCAAGGACGAGGCCCAGCCTGGCCCAGCGCCCCCTGGGGGCCCCGGAGGGACTCCGCAGGGACCCCGAGGGGCGCGTCGCTCCGGGGTGTCATTAACGGCGATCCCTACGAGTCCCCCGGAGTTCCCCGCCCGGAGTTATAAGCCCCCGTGCGGCTGCGGGGCTGCGGCGATGCGGCGCGGCGGACATGACGGCCTAGCCCGAGAAGTGATCGGAGGCTTCACAACTACTTATTGACTTGTTAGACACGCTGATGAAGACGCCTGCCGCCCCCCGCCGCGCCGCCGCGCCCTGCTCCTTGTTCTCGCGCCTCGAGAAGGACGCCGTGGGCGTGGCGGAGGACCGCGGCACCGCGGCGGACCGGTGCGCGAGGAATATCGCGACGCGGAATCTCCATGACAACGGGCCGCCATCACGGCGTGGCACGGCACGGCACGGCGCAATGAAATGCCGAACCGTTGTCAGCCTAGCAGCTGCTGCTGGTCCATAGAGGGCCACAGTCGCCCTGTTCCGCTGTTCCGCCCTCTATTTATTGATCCCTTTTTGATGGTTGACACGAGCGTCGTTGTGCTCGTTCTGCTCGTCCTCGCCGCGGCAGTGCCGGAGCTAGCAGTGTCGCCGCGCCCCCCGCGGCCCCGTGCCGCCCCCGCACCGCATTCACATGGTAATGGGCCGGCACGGCACGGCACGGCGCGGGCGCGGCGCGGGTCAGGGGGTACGGGGGCTTTGGGTGTTTGAGCAGCACGCGTGGTGCGCCAAATAAGCGCCGAGGGCGCACAGCGCACCGCACGCTGGACTGCGGGCCGGACTGCGGACGCATCAGCAGCGTGTAGCGTCCGCACGAATGCAGCCGATGCCCAATATTGGTCCTGCGCGTTTTGTTAAGGTTTTGCGCGGCCCGAGCTGTTGGCCGTTCAAACTGGGCCCCGCGGGAGAGAGAGAGAGAGAAAGGGAGGAGGGAAAGGGGGGGGGGGTGAAGGCGTCCCTCAGTGTGATGTGTCATGACGGACTGGTAGCGGAGTACAGGTTTGCGCAGAGAGGCGACTGAGCGCGCCTGACGCGAGACCCATACCGTGCCGCCCCACCGCCGTGTACGATGTGTTGCCTACCCTCGACTCACAAGGCGCTCCCTGACTGACGCGGTGGTCTTCCTTCTCCTCCAGGGACGCGGTGGCCGTCATGGCTCCGGGTCGCTTCCGGCGGCGACTCAGCGACGACCACTCGGACACGGCGGAGTCCACGCCGGCCTCGGCGTCGACGGCGTCCTGCGGGGCGGGCACGGCGGGCACGGCGGGCACCGTGTCCGAGTCCAGCCCGTCGACGCGGTCCTGGCTGGGCGGCCTCGACGGCACCGGCTCCACCAGGGGCAGGCTGCCCTGGCTGTCACCCCGGGAACGACGGCATCCTCTGCGCGACGTCCGCCTGTCGTGCTTCCGGAGGTGAGTCAGTTCACCGAGTCGTTCAATAATGACGTAACCTGTGGCCATTCTTGTAGTTGCTGACGGGCTTGTGTGTGTTTGACAGCTACCTGCCGGGGTCCATCGGCGGGCCATCTGACGGCGACCTGCTGTGCGGGGACTCCACGCCGACGTCACCGAGGACACCCAAGACGCCGCGGCTGCCGGGCGGCGCGTCGTCGAAGGACAAGGCGGACAAGGGGGAGAAGGAGGAGAAGGGCAGAGGTCTGTCGCTGTCGGTTCGGCGGTCGCCCGGCCGCTCGCGCGGCAGCAAGTCGAGCGAGAACGTGTACTTTGTGAGCCCGCCCAGAGCGCAGGCCGAGCAACAACAAGAGCAACAGCAGGTGGGTGATGGTGATGGCCGCTAGCACGGCGAGCACGGCCAGCACGGCGACAAAGCACCAGGGCCGGTTTGGCGTTTAGTGCCCGGTGTCCCGACAATCAGGCGGATGGAGCGTTAGGAAAACACGACGCTGCCCGCCCCGGCCGCCTAGCCCAGCCTAGCCCAGCCTAGCCCCCGCGGGGACGCGAACCTGCGACTCGCGTGCGGTGTGCCATCGACCCGGCCGGCCCATCCCATCGCATGGCCGCGCCAAGGGGCCAAGGCGGGGGCCACGGCGAGGGTCCCCGAAGGCCAGCATCCCGCAGGAAGCGGGGCAGTGAGGCAGCGAGGCAGCGAGGCAGCGAGGCAGTGGGCCGGGGAGTGTTTTTCCTGTTCCTAGCGCTCTTACTACTCGCCTCTGTCCGAACCAGCCCCTCCCACACACTTGAAGCCGAGTGCTTATGGGTGCCTGGCCAACCAGCGACTGCACTGCAGCACGCCATTTTTAGCAGATGATACCTTCACACTTGAAACATACTTAAAACTACTATACACATGAAGGTGTCAGCGTGCTTTTACTCTCGAGTCCAGAAACGAAGCGCGTATCCTAAACAATATAATAGGGGCTGGCTGCCGGGGCGGGCTGGTGCGTGTGGCTGGCTGGCAATGAGGCACAGCCTGCGCGGGATTCGACAATCCCTCCTCGGTACAGCGCCAGCGGCACCGGGCGTAAACAATGGCACCCCCTCCTCGCTCGCGACGGCCTGCCACGGCCTGCGCGCAACATTGACAATCCCTCCCCGCCTGCCACGGCGCGGAATATCGCGCAACAATGCCTCCCGATTCGGCCCGGCCCGGGGCACTCGGGCCAGCTCGGGCTCGGCGGCGGGCGGTGCAGGCCACAGCTCGGCACGGCTAGTACCAAAGTACCAACACCGGCCACCTCATTTTGTTTCATACACAATTTTAATTACTATCTTTGGAATGAGCTCGCATACTACCCCGTATAAGGAAACCGAACGAGTATTGACTGAGAAATTTGAAAGGGAAAAGAAAAAAAAATTGAACTCTACACCCCCTCCCCAGTCTTAATGGGGAGGCCTCCTGCTTTACTTCGGTGTTCGGGATGGGAACCGGTGCTATCAGGTACCTGGGGTTAATCCCGTCAGCGACCCAAGCGTTCGCCGGGGGACCCAGTAGGACCCCAAAGCTCAGACAGCTGGGTCGGAGCACCCAGTGTGAAGCTCTTTGAGGGGCGGGACGTAGAGTGAGACGACAGAGAGACAGAGAGAGACTCAGACAGAGAAGAGGTTTGGTGGGAGCTTCTTGTTTTCGTAGGGTTGGTTGTGTACCCCATGGTACCCCCACTGTCCGGCGCTCCCCTACCGAACATACAGCGTTTTAGGCCAGCTTCAAAGGACTTATCATCGCCATGAGACTAGGGTAATGGACTCGCAACGGAGCTGGCCGGAATCTCTGCCTTGCTAATTGTAGTTCACTATTTCTCCGACTAAATATGCGGTTTTTGAGATGGCTCGGGCATTTGGAAAGAAGACATCTTAGAGTATGCCCTAAATCAAAAAAGTTTCAATTTTCCCACCAGGCTCGAACGGAACGTCTTAACCGTTGCGCTCTCAAATGCGCAGGGCGACGGCCATGGTGCCAGGGCGACGCAGGGGGACGCATCTTCAACTTGCGCTAGAAGCTTCCGGATGCCGCAAAGTGATGGGACAAGTGGTGCCCTTGATAATGTCGAAGACAAAGTATGTCCCATCACTTTTGCGGCATCGGGAAGCTTCTATCGCAAGTTGAGATGCGTCCCCCTGCGTCGCCCCTGGCACCAGGCCGTCCCCTGCGCATTGAGAGCGCAACGGTTAAGCTGTTCCTGTTCGAGCCCTAGTGGGAAAATTGAAACTTTTTGAATTAAGGGCATACCTAAGATGTCTTCTTTCCAAAAATGCCCGAGCCATCTCAAACTCGCATATTTAGTCGGAGAAATGTGAACTACAATTAGCAAAGCAGAGATTCCGGCCAGCTCCGTTGCGAGTCCATTACCCCTAGTCTCATGTCATCGCCTCCCCGACGAATCGAGGAGGCACCACCCGCAACCACAAACCGGGTGGTCTGGATGATGGATCAAATACGCCATCGCTCCAGTGCCGAGGCCAACCCGCCGAAGCGGATTGCTTTTTAGACACCCACAGCGGAGTGGCCAGGTGAATGTGACTCTGACCACTACGCTATCACGCTTGTACGTCTGACAGCGTGTTGGACGACGGGTTTGAGTTGCAGTGGGAGGAAGGCAGTCGAAAAATGTAACGAAATGATGAGATTCGATCCCCGGACCCCGCCACCGGGATCACACGACTTTACGCTCTCGGCCACCACGGCCCATGATGAGGAGACCGGCGTGAGGTGGGTTCTTGACGCAACAGGACTCGACCGACCCGGTCAAAATTTCGCAAGAAATTGGGGGAGTCGAACCACCGACCCTAGCATCGGGAACCGACGCCTCTACTCCCTGGACCACCACGTCCCGTGCACGGAGTGGGCTCACGTTCACGGGTTTCAACCGCACTGGGTGAGGCAGTAAAATTAAATGGAAATATTTGTTAGGAGTCGAACCTCCGGCATGTGGGTCTGTTGCACACGGCTCCGCTCGGATGGCCTCGAACCACCACCCTTAGGATAGTAAGTCGAAAAAACGTATGTGACGCTGGTATTCGAACGCCCGCCTGCGGTAACTCGATCCCACGTCTCTAACCTCTCGGCTATCACAGCAGCTGTGAAACGCGACGGATCATCTGCTTTCATTAACGTTCGTTGAATGAGATTTTTTCTCTCTTTTCATGACCAGCAGCAGCAGCCCTCCAAGCAGGGCACGACGAACGGCGCCAACCTCAGCGCCAGGCTGCGCGCGTTGTCGGCGAGGTGCATGGCCCTGGTGCACGCCGCCGGCGGCGACCGCAAGGCCAACATCTCGGCGTCCGGGAAGAAGTCCTCGCGGCCCTGCAAGCAGCGCTCCTTCTCCTCGGGGGCGCTGCCGGGCCTGCACGACTTCCAGCGCCGCCAGCTCAACCCCATCTACCGCGACGACGGCGACGACGGCCACGACACGCAGCCGGATGATGTAAGTCCCTGAGGCCGACGGACTCAGCGAAAGTTTTCTTTCTCCCGAAGGCGAAATAATCCGCAACACTCACCGACTGCGCGGCCCGGCGCGGCGCGGGGTGCCTCCCGCCGAAGCAAAGTACACTCTCAGCCACCCCCTCCCCCTCGTCCTCCCCGCCCTCGCCACCCTGAGTGATTGCCCCCGATAATGTAACGAACTTGGCCGCCACGCCGACACGCCACGGGGCCAGGCCAGGCCCTTTGCCAGCTGGGCTGGCCGGAACGCCGCCACCGCCGTAACGTGATCGAGTCCGGTAAATGAGGAGAGTAATCTTATCGCGCTTTTAATATCATTCTGGCGACGCGAGGGCGGGGCGTAGGGCGCGGGGCGTCGGGCGCGGGGCGTAGGGCGCGCGGCGTGTAGCGTCGTGGCGCAGTGGCGCCGCCACCGGTAAGACGAGGTGCCGGGACGACGCGCCGACGACGCCGAGGCGCCGCAGGGGCGGGACGGCGGGACGAGGGGGAGGCCGGTCTGGCCAGGGCGCCGCCCATCACCACGTTTAGAAATGCCAACGCCGCCGTGGTGGCGCGACGCGGCGCGACGCGGCGCGACGGCCAAAAGTGACCCACTGGCGCCGACTATCGCCACGCTAAAAAAAAATTACTTCCAGGAGACGCCTCTGTCACCGAGCCCCTCCAACGGCGTGCTGGCTGGCGAGGAGGACTGCGACAGCGGCATCCTGGTCAGCGAGGCCACCAGCACACCCCTCTCAAGCCTGCCGGGCAGCGGGGGCGGCGCCGGGGGTGGCGGTCGGGGTGGCCGGGGGTCGCTGCCGTGGGGCAGCGCGGTCGGCGCGCTGGGGGCTGCCACCGCCGCGTCACGGGCACTCAGATCCGCGTCTCTGGACCGGGAGTTACTCGGGGGAAGTCCCCTCCTGGACCACGACGAAGGGGAGGACCCCGAGGAACTCAGCCACGCTGTCACTAGTCAAGGTACGCATTACCCAGAGTGCCCAGTGTCATGATCTTAGATTCCAGAGACCGAGCCAGAGAACTGACCCAGGCTTTACCTCAACAGCACGCCGCAGCCGGGCGTCCACCAAGTCGTCGTCGTCGTCCTCTGAGATCAGCGAGATCTTCTCCCGCTTCCAGCGCCGCCGCGTGGCCGGCACGAGCACGCCGTCGTCCTCCTCCAGGCCGTCGTCGCCGCCCCTCCTGCCCGCGCCGCGCGCCGCCTCCAACCTCGAGGGCGGCGTCGGGGGCGGCTCGGCGACGGGGCGGCGGCGCGAGTTCCACCTCGTGCGCCTGACGCGCGCCACCCCCACCGAGGAGCTGGGCATCTTCATCGCCAAGAGCGAGGCGCCCGACCGCGGCGCGCAGGGCTACGTGGTGGCCCACGTCGTGCCCGGGGGGCTGGCGCACAGGTGAGCAGGGAAGCAGCCCCCGCGTTCTGGACCGGCCCCCGGACGGGCCCCGGCCGGGCCCCAGCCGTCTCCTCCAGACGAGCCCCTCGTAACAGTGTCGCCGTGGGTATTGTTCTTCACGGCGTAGTGGGCCGCGGAGGACGGCGCGTAGACCGTGGGGCACAATGACAACCCCTCTGTCCGTGACACCGCCACTGCGGCCCCCGGCGCCCCGGCCCGCCCGCATGTCTCCGTCTCGGCCTATGAATAGGGCCAATCGTGCCTGGCAGCGTAGGCAGCCAGCCAGCCCGGCCTGGCCCTTCAGGGGGATTGGGGATTCCTTGCCGTCCGAACCTCCCCTGAAGCGGCAGGAGAACATGTCCCGCGGAGTGGCGAGCCGAGCCGAGCCGAGCCGAGCCGAGCCGAGCCGAGCCGAGCCGAGCCGAGCCGAGCCGAGCCGAGCCGGGCGAGGCGGACGGCGGACGGGTCGGTCGCACCCAGATAAAGAGATTGCAACTCGGCGCGCCGAACCAGCCAGCCGAGCAGCCAAGCAGCCCAACGAGGGCTCCGGCGAGGCCGAGGCGAGGCCCGCCAAGGACGGGCACTGTACTGTATACGTAAATTCGGCGACGTGTATTCGCATATCGAACGGCGCGGCCGGCTGCAGGCACTGCCTTCCAGGTCTGCGCGAACAACTGCTTTTCGTGTTTCGTGTTGACGACCGGTTCTGTGTTTGCCTCAGGGACGGCCAGCTCCACCTCGGCGACGAGCTGGTGGTGGTGAACGGCAGGCAGCTGCGTGGACTGAGCATGGCGGCGGCCAGGCAGCGGCTCCGGGCCGGGCCCACGCAGGTGGACATCGTCATCGCGCGCCAGTGAGTCCAGCAGTCCAGTCGCTCTTTTGTTGTTCATGTCCTTGGCCAGCGTGTTTTACGGGTCCTCTCTCTGTCTCGCCGTCCTATGCGGCGCACTCAAGCAGCCCTTTCTGCCCTGCCTCCAGATGCCAGTGCCAGAGTTCCGAGGGCCGCGACAGCGGCATGGACACCTCCGGGGACAGCATGACGGAGTGCTGCTGCAAGGCGGCCCCCGCGACCTCCACTCGTAAGTCGATGACGTCATGATGGTGGCGTCGCGGGCCGTGGCTTATCTCGCCCTATCGGCGTCCCTATTAGCGCCGCCGGGTGGTGGGGTGACCAGGACGGGGTCGGGACGTTCCAGGATCCGCAAATAAAGCCCGACGTCGAGTTTTGTCAGAAGTCGAAGTGCGCCCCTCTAGAGTCATGCCTGGCGGTGCCTGGCGGAGTGGAGTGGGCGCCGCCGCGCCGCCGCGCCGCCGCGTCGCCAGACGGCACTCGGGGCCTCGCAGCACTAAAAGAGCGCAAAAAGAAATCTGTGGGGTCGGACGGGACGACGGCGGACGGCGCGGGGCGCGGGGGCGTCTGGGCGCTGCGACGAGCGCGACGAGCGAGGCAAAGAGGCGCCCCATCATGCCCGAGGCAAAGAGCAGCAGACAGGTTAAAGTGCGACGCCGCACCGCGACGGCCGCGCGAACACAGTGTGTGGTGTGTGTGCCACCACGCTATTTATGGCGGCGAATCGATGCTGCGTCGCGGCGTGGTGTGCGCCGAGGCGTGCGGCGTGCGGCCTGCCGGGGCAGCCAGTCCGGCGTCCCCGCGGGGGCTGCGCGGCTGCGCTGCGTCTTTCTTGCCGCCCCGCGGGGGCACCGCCGGACCCGGAGGGCCCCGATTTGGAGGCAGGTCACGCTCGCCCCTCCGCCCCCGCGACCGCCCCCGCGACCGCCCCCCGCGCGGTCGGCCGGCCATCCCCGCCGCTGCGGAAAAATGGTGGCCATCGCGGGGCGTGGCAGGCCAGCGGCAGGCCGCCGCAGGGCAGGGCAGGGCATGTCGGCAGGCGCGACGGCGGCGAGGAGCGTGTGTCAAAACGGCCAGCACGATTGTTATTACGGACGCGGCAAGTGGCCTGGAGGCCAAGCACGCCGCCAAGCCGCCCCGCCGACCCCGCCAGCAGACTGATTCCGAGAGTCGTTTTCGTCGCTCTGTCTCCCTCGCACCCACACGGTGCGCCCCACGAGTGCGACAGAGATGGAGCGACGAAAACGACTCTCGGAATCAGTCTGCTGCCCCCGGCCCCGCGCAACATTCCAGCCACGTCCCCGCTTCATGGGAAGGGGAGGGGCGGGGGATCAACCCCTAGCCTAATTCGCCCTCGGCGAGCGGTGGGGCGGGGCGGGGCGGGGCGGGGCTCGGCCAGTACAGCGCGCTGTCGCTGTCGCGCGCACGGGCCTTGACGCTTCTTGCTGTTCTCTTTTTCCAGCGTCGCCGGCGCGCCGCACTCTACCGGAGTCCAGCGTGGACTACGAGAACGTGGTGCTCCGACCCAGGGACCGGACACCCACCCTGGCGTCGGCGGAGACACCGGAGACGGCGGCTGCGGACGAGGTCACCCCCACGGCGTCCACGACGTCCTCGACGGCGTCATCGAGAACGTCGACGTCCTCCAGTGCAGCAGGCGCCAATGCTAGTCTCGGCTGCAGCCCCGGTGGGGGCACTAGTCCCAGCTCGAGCGCGACCCCCAGCGCGACCCCCAGCGCGACCCCCAGCCCCATGGCTTCCAGGCAGCAGCTCTTCCAGAAGCACGCGGCCCCCGCCAGCACCAAGGCCGCGCGCAGATCTCTGGTACGAACATGTCCGCAGAAAGTTTAGAGGCGAAATTTCCGTACCGCGGTTTCGGATGCAAAGGAAATCTTTGGCGTGTCGGGCTGCCGAAAGTTTCCCTGCAATCGATGATGTCGGCGAGCGACTAGCCCACCTTCCGGCAGCCTCGCTGCCCCATTCCCTCAAGTTTAGCTCACGATCTTGAGTGTGAATTCGATTTTGGCAAGTTCGGATCGTTATTCGATTGTGCGCGAATGCCTTTCCCCTCTGGCCGAAGCGAGCCGAGGCGAGTCGAACCTCCCCCTGCCCCTGCTGGCCTTTCCCGCCCGGGCCGGCCGGCCTGCGCCTCGCCATGCAAAGGGGAGGCCAGGCCGAGGGCCAGGCAATGGAAGAGCCCAGCGGGCGGGCCGGTAGGGGCCTCCATTCCGAACAGCGCCTTCGTCGCTCTGTTTCTCTCGCTCATTGGGCGCTCCAGGGGTGCGAGAGAGACAGAGCGACGAGCATTGTGCTCGGCCCCAGTCGTTGTTGTGCTCGGCGGCCGGTCGCGTCGGAGGGTTGCAATAAGAGATGTGATAATGTCAGACGCAGTCGGCACTGCCGGCAGTCGGCGCGCGGGAAGGAGGAGGAAAGGTCGCATCATCGCGGCGCCGCGGCGGGGTGGGTCCGCGCCACTGTAAAATGCCACGCGCCGAACATCGCGCCGCCACGCACCGTCGCCCAGCGCTGGGAAGGACAGGTGTGCACGCGCCGGCAGGCTGAATCCGAAGAGTCGATTTGCTGATCTGTCTCTGTCACACCCCTGTGGCACCCCGTCGTCGTGGAGCGAGAGAGACAGAGCGACGAGACGATTCTTCCGAATCGCTCGGCAGTTCGATCATGTGTGATGTGCACCTGTTCCCGCTGAAGGTGACTCCCCCCGTTCCGCAGCCCCAGGCTGCCCCAGGCACGGCATGCCACCGCCCGCCCGGCGGTTTATGCTTTTCCTTTGCCCGCGATAACACCACTGCTAACGGCCGCCACAGCACGCGGGTAACCCGTCGCTTTGTTTGCAGGCGATCGTGCCCCGCTCCAGCTCGCCGCCCCTGGAGCACCTGGAACCGCTGGAGCGGCCGGCGGAGACGCAGCACCACAGCCTCAAGCGGCGCGCCCGGCGCCACGGCTCGCGCCACGGCGGCCACGGCGACGGCGTCGTCAGCAGCGGCGCGCCGTCCGCGGCGTCCACCGAGTTCCGCGTCGAGCTGCGCAAGGGCCCCGGCTGCGGCGCGCTCGGCTTCACCGTCGTCGGCGGCGCCGACTCGCCGCGCGGCGCCCTGCCCATCTTCGTGCGCTCCGTCCTGGAGGGCGGGCAGGCCGCCCAGGACGGCAGGCTGCAGCCAGGTGAGCTACCCGCTGAACTGACTTGGCTTTGGCCGGCGCAGCGCGCCTGACGGCGACAGCGTAGGCCGGCCCGCCGTGCCACGGCGTGCGGCGGGTGGCCTAGCCGGTCGTCGGCAGGCGCCCCGCCCTCCCCGACCCGGCCCCGCGGATAACACGACTCGGTAACGAGATACACGGACCTCTCCGCGGCCGGATTCGGGATTTGGCTGAGTCCCCCGGACGTCAGTACGCCAGTCAGTGCTGGCAGCCACCTGTCCGGGCGGGGCGGGGCGGGGTGACCCGATAGTCGACACGCAACTGGGGCGCGCCGCGCCATGCCGGGACGCTGGGCTGTGCTGAGCGCGCCAAATAATCCGACACGGCCACGGCCTGCCCCGTGTCTCGCCGGCCTCACGTCCCGCCACCGTGCGCCACCGTGTGCCACCGCGTGCCACGCAAGAACAAGAGCCACCTGTCGGAAGAGATGACAGATGATGGGGCGCACCGACTTGCCGGCCGGAGGGAGGGGAGGGGGAGGGGTCAGCGTGGAACCATGGCGAAGCCCAGCCCGCTCCAATCAAGTACCCAAGCCAAACTCTGGGCAAGCTATAGGGGAGGGGGCCTTGCCGGGCCGTGCCGGGCCTTGCCGCGCTGTGCCGCGCTGTGCCGCGCTGTGCCGCGCTGTGCCGCGCTGTGCCGCGCTGTGCCGCGCTGTGCCGCGCTGTGCACACAGGTTGGGCCGACCCCGGCCGAGCCCGGCCAGGCCCGCTACAGCCTGATAACTTACCTAGCAGGCGGCCAGGCCCGCCAGGCCCGCCAGGCCCTACGCCATGTCGAACAGCCCCCACCCCCTGCCGGTGCGGGGCGGGGCGATCTGGGTCGCTCCCGATCGTCAATAAGATTCTCTGGGATGGTATGGGATAGGCGGCGGGGCGGGGCGGGCGCGGTGGAAGGTATCGGCCTGAGGTCAGCTGCTAGGGCAGCGAAAGGGTGCAGGCAGGGGCAATGGGGGACCAGCCAGACCGCACCGGCCCGCCGAGCATTGCCCAGGCACTGGCCAGGCACTGGCCAGGCACTGGCCCACTGCCCCCCGGGGACCGCGGCCAGGGGCGGCCAGCGTGCCCAGCGTGCGGCCAGCGATCCGTGGCGTGCCGCGCCGCCAGTAGCCGCCAGTGGCCGCCAGCCACAGCAACCAGCTCGTGGAGGGCCTGCGGGCCCAGGGGAATACCTCATCGCAGTGTCCGATTGAGGGCGCTAATAAAGGGAAGAGGGTGGGGCGTCTGCCCGTCGACGTCGCTGCAGACAGTGACACCCCTGTCAGACCATCACGCATCACAACCAACCAACTACACGCGACAAGACTGCACGGCACGGCATGGCGCTTTGTTTTCACGCCTCGTTGTTTTCCCTCCAGGCGACGAGCTGTTCCTGCTCAACGGGCAGCCGCTGCGGGGCGCCACCCACTCCGAGGCGGTGGCCATGTTCCGCGCCGTGCGGGCCGGGCCCGTGCTGCTCACCGTGTGCCGGAGAACGTAAGTACGCCGATAGACGCAGACGCAGCGCCTGCGGCACCCTCCACTGGAAGCACCGGGAATCCACCTCTAGAATGCACACATTGGAACTCGGAATTACATATCGGCTGCTCGCTGAATTCGCCTCGAAAAGACGTGGTTACGCCCACTGCTTGGAGCAAAGGTGCACAGAGACACGGCGGCAGGAGAGGATCGCTGCGACGGCGCCTCTCTGCTTTATTTCGGCGTGGAGGGACTCGGGGCGAAGGGCTGTGGGGCTGAAGGGCTTTGTCCGGCCCTCCGCCGCCCCGCCCTCCGTCGACGTCCTTCCGGGCCTTCAGGGCCTACAGCGTGAGTGAAGGGCGGGGGCCGCGGGGGCCGCGGGGTCTGGTCGGGGCTCGGCGGCTCCACCTGCTAACGATGCATGTGCGTGCGGCCGTGCCGGGCCATGCGGCCCGTCGGCCGCCGGGCCTCCGCGGACGCGGCCTCCACGGAGGGGCAAGCAAGCCGCTCGGCCCTCCACGAGGCCCTCCACGAGGCCCTCCAGCCCGTACGGCCGCTCGCCATGGCTCGCCACTCCACTCCCATCGGCCGCCGCTCGGCTACAGTCAATAGCCGCCACTCCCCCTCCAACTTAAAAAAAGAAGCCGCATACAAATAAATGCGGACGTTTTAAAATTTTTATTCCGGTCGCTTCTCAGAGGCAGCGGGTGGAAACTCCCGGGCGGAGGGTGAAACCAGGTCCGCACGGCCGGTCCGGCCGGCAGACGAACCCGTAGCCCCGCATTGGTAACTTCTTTTTATCAGAACTATCATAAAACTAAGAGTTAGGAGGAAAACCGGGTACCGTCGTGAAGCTAAGAGTCTGCAGAATGCTCTCGTTTCATTGTTTTGATCTAAAAATGCCCACACTATTAATATTAACGATTAAAACAAGATAGCCGGGTAGCGGGCTACGCTACACCCGAGATTTGTTCACTTTCGTTCTCAGTTCTGAGCGATGCTAGACCCTACATGTCCGCGAGCCGATTTTTCCTTATAAAATTTAACGTGGCGTAGGGTACATTATTTGGCGATAAAACTAACCTCAACGTTGTAGCCGAGTCCAAATGTGATGTGTCGAAATGGCGTCTGCCGGCACTTCTCACTTTAACCTCATAAATAAGATACAGACAATACAATTAACCAAAGCATATATAGCCTACGCCACGTGAAATTTTATGAGGATTCCAAATCTCTCCTTAGTTTTTGAAATAAACCTACGATTACTGAAGGCGAGACAGATTAAAATCGGCCGACGCAAAGACGCCAAAACGACAGGTTTACTGTGTGCACTAATGTGAGAGAACTGCTGAGTCTAAACTCTGTTGCGTAACTGATAATTAATCTTCAACCATGTCTTCGTGCAGATTCGTCGAGTTTCGTTGCACAGAACTTGATATGAATTAACAAATTCAATGGGAAAATATTGTGTCAACAAACACCGTTTGAAAGAAAACAAGCCCGTGTCGTCTGAACTAGCCTATGAGAAATTCACCGCTCGACTCGGCCTCGCAGTTTCGGTGTGAATTAAAGCCGATTGCTACTAGACGCGTTCAATACAATGTTCAAAATATTTTATAAACAATCTGCGATAAAGTTAGACATAAACTGTACGCTTTCTGAGCGGCATACATTTCGATGAGCAGCGTACACCGCTAACCGATGCTGACCGGAGAATTTTTCATAGACTGGTCCAGACGACACGGGCTTGTTTTCTTTCAAACGGTGTTTGTTGACACAATATTTTCCCATTGAATTTGTTAATTCATATCAAGTTCTGTGCAACGAAACTCGACGAATCTGCACGAAGACATGGTTGAAGATTAATTATCAGTTACGCAACAGAGTTTAGACTCAGCAGTTCTCTCACATTAGTGCACACAGTAAACCTGTCGTTTTGGCGTCTTTGCGTCGGCCGATTTTAATCTGTCTCGCCTTCAGTAATCGTAGGTTTATTTCAAAAACTAAGGAGAGATTTGGAATCCTCATAAAATTTCACGTGGCGTAGGCTATATATGCTTTGGTTAATTGTATTGTCTGTATCTTATTTATGAGGTTAAAGTGAGAAGTGCCGGCAGACGCCATTTCGACACATCACATTTGGACTCGGCTACAACGTTGAGGTTAGTTTTATCGCCAAATAATGTACCCTACGCCACGTTAAATTTTATAAGGAAAAATCGGCTCGCGGACATGTAGGGTCTAGCATCGCTCAGAACTGAGAACGAAAGTGAACAAATCTCGGGTGTAGCGTAGCCCGCTACCCGGCTATCTTGTTTTAATCGTTAATATTAATAGTGTGGGCATTTTTAGATCAAAACAATGAAACGAGAGCATTCTGCAGACTCTTAGCTTCACGACGGTACCCGGTTTTCCTCCTAACTCTTAGTTTTATGATAGTTCTGATAAAAAGAAGTTACCAATGCGGGGCTACGGGTTCGTCTGCCGGCCGGACCGGCCGTGCGGACCTGGTTTCACCCTCCGCCCGGGAGTTTCCACCCGCTGTCAGAGGTCGATTGAAGTCAGTGGCTGCGCCGCGGATTCACTTTTTTTTCTGCTTCGAGAATCTCGGCGTCAAAGGCCCCTCCTGTCTTTATTTGCGTCGTTTTGGTGGCGGAAGACCGGTGGGGGAGGGGAGGGGGGGGGGTTCGAACCCCGGCCGGCTCTCGGCCCCGCAGTAGGCCCGGATCACAGCCAGCGGCGGGGTGCGGCGCGGCCGCTCGCCGGGACCTACAGGGCCTGCAGGGCCTACAGGGCGGAGGCACGTAGCGGGTCGATTACCCACAAACAGGAGCTGTGGAGACCGCGGGGGGCTTCGCGGGGCAGCCTCGCGGAGAGCGAGCGAGAGCGAGAGAGAGGGCGGGGGAGTCCAGGTCGAGGATTAGCCGACTTATCGCAAACAGCATAAACTGACGGCGCGTGCCACGCCTGGCAAACAACGCGCACCTGTCCATTTTTATTCAAACGATCTTTCAAACCGCTGGAAACAAAAGTGAATAACAACACGCATGTCCGTCTGTTTTCTCTCGCAGGACCAAGAAGGCCCAGTCGTGCTCGGACCTGGTCGTCGGCCAGACCGCCTCCCAGGACGACGCATAGTGTTGCTTCTCTCCGGCGTCGGGGGCCTGCCTGCTCTGCTGGCCCATGGCTGGCCCTGCTGCCGAGCGATTCAGAAGCACCGTTCCGTCGCTCGGTCTCTCTCGCACCCCTCCGACTCCTCGGCATGAGCCTGCAGCTGCCTTCGTCTTTGTCGCTCCTACCTGATGTAGCACTTTTCCCGATCGCCCGCAATTTCATCATTCCGCTTCCTCTTCTCCTCTCGCCCGCACTTCCACAACAAGCCCGGCACCATCCAATCTTCTAAAACTGCCAACTGCCCCGCGTTCGCGTTCTGTTTGCCGCTCTGCAACTGCACCCCCGCTCTCCCCCTCCCCCTGCCTGCCGGTTCGGCCGCGACTAAAGAGGTATTTTCAGTAGTCCGGAGCGCGGTGCGCGATCGCAGCGCACTCTGCGCGGCCGGCGGCGCCGTCCCGCTCCGCCAGCAGCGCAGCACGCGCAGCCAGCAGCGCGCGGCCGGAAAAACAAAAACAGGAAAGACTTGGGAAAAAAGAGGAAGGAGGAAACCGTTGAAGCGCGGTAAAAACAAAAGGGCGAAATTGGGGCGGCCCATTGAAGACAAAAGTGAGAAAAACGGGGAAACGGGCGCGCTGTGCCCCTTGTTCTTGTTGGCGCGGTCCACAAGGCGCGGCCGGGCGTCGCCCGGACTGGCGTGCTGGCGTGCTGGCGTGCTGGCGTGCTGGCGTGCTGGCGTGCTGGCGTGCCGGCGTGCTGGCGTGCCGGCGTGCTGGCGTGCTGGCGTGCCGGCGTGCTGGCGTGCCGGCGTGCTGGCGTGCTGGCGTGCCGGCGTGCTGGCGTGCTGGCGTGCCGGCGTGCTGGCGTGCCGGCGTGCTGGCGTGCTGGCGTGCCGGCGTGCTGGCGTGCCGGCGTGCTGGCGTGCTGGCGTGCCGGCGTGCTGGCGTGCTGGCGTGCCGGCGTGCTGGCGTGCTGGCGTGCCGGCGTGCTGGCGGGCTGGCGTGCCGGCGTGCTGGCGTGCCGGCGTGCTGGCGTGCCGGCGTGCTGGCGTGCTGGCGTGCTGGCCTGCTAGCACTGCCAAGCCGCAACACATCGTCCAAGTCTCGCCTCGCCCTTAACTGGCGTTTGGCGTTTGGCGGCGAGAAAGAGAAAGTTTGGCGGCGAGGCGGCGAGGCAGCGCGAGGCGAGACAAGCCAGCCTCTCTCAATTAAAGTGCGAAGAACTTGTCGCATTCTGGCAGCGGACCGCCCCGCCTCGCCCCGCCTCGCCCCTCCCGCGGAGAGCGCGCCCGCCGCCCCGCCAAACTGCAGACAGACAGCGTCTGCTTGGTAACCGTGTCGCGTCGCGCTCGCCGTCTGTCGCCTTGGTGGTGGTGGTGGTCGTCGTCGTCGTGGACGTGCTCCGGTTCCTCCGCGCCGCCGTGGCCGGGACTGACTGATTGCAGATTTCTGTGCAAATAATGACCTCCGTCTCGGCGGTCTCCGTCGACGCCACCCCGTCCATCAACATCATGTCGCCGCGCCCGAAGGACTGCTAAGGACGCGGCCCGCGTGCCACCACCCTGGTGCCGCCTTGGTGCCGCCTCGGACGACGGCGCGGTCGCAACTTTGATTATGATGGAGGAGGCGCGGCGGTGGCGGCGGCCGGGGGAGGGAGAGAGACGGGACGAGAGCCTGGCAATGCTGTCAATCTAGCGGAGCCAAAAACGAATAAAACGTCCTTAGACCCAGAAGGAGTTGAGCACGGAGCTCGAGAATCAAAGTCGGATTGTTTTCGTTCCGCAGGTGGCGGCAGGCAGCGCGGGCACCAGCCCGCCCATCCCAATGTGTGTTTGACTACTTAAGCTAAGGCCCTGGCGGCTGTCATCTTTAATCCGCGTCAAAATCATGGCTCTGCAGAGCCCCGCGTGATTCCCCCCTCCCTGCGGCTGGAGACCCAGAGGGCGACGCGGCGACCGAGCGGGGCGGCTCAGCCGAAGCCGAGACAGGGCATCATTTATTTTTCCCTCCCCGCGGGCCGGCGGGCCTGGGCCAGCCGGGGCCCCGGGCCATACAGGCAGCTACTTTGCGAGAATGTGCTCCTAATGTATTACGCTTATGTCTACAGCGCGGCCGTTTCGGCCCGAATGTCGAGGCAAGGAGGCACTGTTGCTCTCCCCTCCGCGCCCCGCCTCGCTTCGGCCGCGCAGCCTTCTCTGTTTGCATAATCGAAATCTCCGCAAAGGACGACGACGACGCGGAGAGGCGCGTGGAGGTGAGGGGAGGGGGAGGTCCAATCATCCTCGGAGTGCATTTCGCGTTTTGGCTATTCCCCCGGCGCGGGCGGCGGTCGGTCGCGCTGGGCTGGTTGCATTCCACGTTCCACGGCGAGGGCCCCGGCAGGGGCGCAGGTATGGGGGGCTCTTTGCCGATCTGCATTCTCGCGACCTCTGGAAGGGGGAGGGGGAGGAGGACGCGCAAATCAAGCAGGTCGTGCCCGTCGTGCCCGTCGTGCCCGTCCGAGGTCCCAGCTTCCAGCGCGGACTCGGCGAAACGGTCTTAGTTGTTTGGAACTTGGAAGGGAAGGGCGTCGGGCGGTTCTCGATCCGCGCGGCTCCGTGTCCGGAGGTGTGCAGCCCCCGGCCTCGCCCGGCCCACACCGCCAAGCGCCACTGCCTCCACGCGCCGGGAAAAGAGGAAAAGGTGGAGCACTTTCTGCGATGCTTCGCACTAAATTGTAGATTCTGAGGCCGACCGGCCGGCCTGTGTGAGAGCAAACTAAGATTGACGACTCCGAAACAGCGGCCCGCTCCCCTCCGGCCCCCGCTCCTGGACGCGCCCTCGTGGTCCATAGTGGTCCCGGCGGGTCCCCGCCCCGTCCGAGCATCGGGGCAGCGGGGCATCGGGGCATCGGACTATGATGTGTGTGCTTTGGCCGGCCGCTCAGCTCGGCCCCGCCGTAAACTTACTTTGGCAGCCCTAATTGTGATTTATGCTGTGGCCCCCGTGCCCCTGCCGCCCCCTGCGCCGCCCCCTGCGCCGCCCCCTGCGCCGCCCCCTGCGCCGCCCCCCGAGCTCCACGCCCCCGTCTGTCCCCGTTCGACCGGCGGCGTCCCCACTCTGTTTTCTCCCTCGCGCCCCAGTTCTCCTCCTTTCTCTCCCAGCTGCAGCGCCGCCCCCTCTCTTTCCTCTCCCCTTTTCTCTCTGTTTCACCCCTCTTTTGCTACCACCACTTTTTTTTTCCAGGCTCCGTCTGTGGCCTTGCTACCCCCAACACACTTGACCCACTAGCACCTGTGTTTTCTCGCTCTTTCTGTTTTTGTTCCATTTTTTGTGTTGGGTTCTAGTCAACTTTGTGGCCATCGAGTCACTTACGAATGTAAATTGAGACTCGCTTTTTGTGTATTGTCTGTGAGTGTGTGAGAGCGTGTGTATGTCTGTGTGCGTGTGTGTGTGTGACATTCCTTTCGAGTTTAGTCATTAAAACGGTGTAAGGGTGTTTCCGTCCAAAATCACGGCTGTACTCCGAGTGTTAATATGATTTTTACTTTTTCAATTAAATCGTATTGTTGAAATTTAATATCGCCCTTTCTTTTCCTCCACCTGCTGTGACCTTGCACACAATAATTTCCTGGGCCGCGCCGCGGGATGGCTGGCTGGCTGGCTGGCTGGCTGGCTGGCTGGCCAATCTCTGCCAGGCGCCGCCCCTACACTGAGAGAAGGGGTCGGTGCCTCACGATAAAACTGTGTTTTGTGGAACCCCCCAATGGCGACAGTTACACGAGTTCAATCCTTGCAACTGTTCAGCCGATGATCACAATAAGACTGCTAAATAGTGAGAGTGACTGAACCGCCAATAATAGTCAGCATGAAAGGACTCGATTAAACTGGCTTTAGTCATAGGCTTGATCGATGGTCAGTAGTCGCGACTAAAGCGTTTAGGTGTGGCACCGGAACACTGGCGATGCGACACTCAACACGGAAGTCGCGTTGCCATCGCCCAGCGCTCCGCCACATTCTCAACAGTGCGGTAGCTCAGTGGTCTCCGCGCCTGGAGGCTGGATAAGAAGCCGGGTTCGGGGGTTCAACTCCCCGTAGCGCAACCAGTTTCTTCTGGCATAGTATCTTTGTATACTATTGTGCTGTCAGGAGATGGACTGTGGGACACTTGGGACCCCAGGAAAGGGAGCGAGCTATCATTTTCTCGGTGCGTCCGCACACATTCGTCAGTCCAAGAGGCCCATCAATGCCGGCATCTCTCAGTCAGCCAGGTGGGCGAGTTGGTAGAGCGACGGACTCGTAACACGTAGGTCCGTGGTTCGAGCACTCGTTTTGAAGTCGTTTTTTCATCGGTTTACGTTTATGTGTCAGGACTAAACAGTCAATCGTCAGACCTTATCGCATTCAGTCACTGTAACAAGATTTGATTTAGTGGCAGTGGCTAAAATAGACAGACGACATGTTAGAAAAAGAGTACATCTCACAACTAAAGTAGTGCGACTAAACGATTTAAATGTGGCCATCGAACGTTTAATTGAACCCCCAGCGACCAAACAGATTGGTTGTCACAGCTGTAAGTTTAGGTGTGGCCCCAAAACATTTCCCTCAGTGTAATTTCATCACCAGGAATAATTCACCCCTGCCACGGAAGAAATCCGCGGGGAATATTGTCGTCATCTACGCTCTGTCACTCAGCGACACAAAAAAAAAATGGAAGAAAAAAATGAGCGGGTTGGCAGTGTAATGGGCACGATGATTGCTGCCTGTTCTGCCTGTCCTGCCTGGCACTTCCCCCGCCATTTTCCGGACGACATGCGGACGCGTGGCGGTGGCGGAGTGGCGGCCGTGGCGGCGGGGGAGGGAGAGACTTTTGATTAAATTCCCCGAAGACATGCTGGCCCTCCCCGGCACGCCCTGGGCACGCCCTCGGCACGCCGCCCCGGCCGTTCCGAAGCCGCGCTGAATGGCCGGTCTCTGCTTAAGGTGAGCCGACAATGGTCCGTGATTTGTAAGCCAGCGGCAAAGTATGAGAAATGGAGGCAAACCCCGGTTTAGCCTTTGTGCCCCACTTCGCTTCGCGCCCGGCTGCGGCCGACTCAAACCCTTTTTATGCCCCTTTCTTTTTTTGACACACGGTAAAAATATTGGGAACCGTATTCTGTACCTGTCTCCGCAGTTATCCTCAGAATCCGCAGCGAGAAGAGTGAGAGTTTTTTCAAGAGTTGAACGCAAGGCGGTGCTGCTGTGCTGCGCTCTGGTTGAAACTAGATTGTTCTGTCTGGGCGAGGATTAGAGACCGCGTCACAAATGAGAAGGCGACATGTTATACCACATTTATTACTCTACAAACCGCGACGGCCTCTAGAACACACACATACGCTCACTCACAGCACACAACACAGACGCTTTTTTTTTAAATACATAATGTACGTACAAACTTGGCGACAACACACTGACAATGATGAACACAGATAATACAGGGGTAAACGAACCATAAAAACAACGAAACACGAATAATAAAACACTGTACACATTTAAGGAACCAAAGAAAAACATTTACAATTTTTTTTATGCTCATGACATCACTCTCTCCGGGCCGCGACACTGTCGCTATCCGTGGGGGTTGACGCGTCCCGCGCGGCCGGATCAGAAAACAAAAGAAACATTTTGATTTTGGGCTTTGACCCCGCCGGGGCCGCACCACTGTGCGCGCCACTGCGGCGAGCCAGGCAGGCAGGCGCCCGGCGAGGGTTGGGCGGTCCGCCCGGTCCTTGCCTTGACGCCGAGGCGGAGGCCAAGGAGGCCAAGGTGGAGGCCGTGACGCACATCCTTCGACTCGACGCCCCGGCGTGCTAGCGGTGCTAGCCGTGCTGGCCGCGGCGGCCCCGTGGCCCCCGTGCCGGCCGGATGCTGCCGGGTGGCAACCTGGGCGCTGCAGCGGGCCGCACCGCGCCGGCTGGCAACCCTAGGGCGATCGGCCAGAGAGGAAGGAAGTGTCCCTTGAGGTAATTGACGTGATGCAGCGGTGGCGGAGGGGCCGCGGGGGGAAGGGGGGGCCGCGGAGGGGGCGGGGGGCGTGGACGCAGACCCGCTGCGCCCTGCCCGCCCCGCCCCCGCAGGCCCCACCCCGCCCCGCGGGGCGCGGCCCTCCCTGAAGGGGGCGCTCAGGACCCCGCCGTGCCCGCGGCGTGGCCTGTTCCCTCGAAGCCGTCAACCAGCGTCTGGATGATGAGCTTGATGGTCACCTTGTAGATGTTCTCCACGTTGGCGGTGTAGCGGTCACCCAGCGTCTGCTCCACCGCCTTGAGGAAGGGGCCCTCGATTTTCTGCAACAGAGAGACGGCGCGGGTCATGGAACGGGACCGGGGCGCACGGGGCACCGGGGCGCACGGGGCGACCACTCGGAAGGCAAACCGCAGCGCGCAGCGCGAGACCAACAGACGGCGGGAGTCGTGTGCCGTTCTGTTTGTTCTGCCTGAAACCGGCGCCGCCGCCTCGCCGCCGATCCGTTCACCTAACTTCCAACTTCCAACGCTCGGGCAGAATAAGCTGAACCTGGGCCATGGCCTCGGCGGGGCGGGGCAATTATACTGATTGCAGTGCAGCCTCGTTTGCTGCGTCTGGCCGTGCCGTACCGCCGTGCCGGGGCTCGCTGCCCAGCCCTGCCCAGCCCGACCGGGGCCTCGTCCAACATTTGCACAGTTCGTAAATGAAAAAGACATTAGGGGCGAGAGCGCCACACTGCGCCGCACTGCGCCGCACCACCACATCGGGGCGGCCGAGGGCGGCGTCAACACGCTGGACACGTGTTTGCACAGTGGACTATACGATACAAACAGGGCGGACAGGGCCTCGGACAGGGCGGGGGGAACACAAGGGGAAATCTATCGCCCGAGGGGCGTGCTGCCCAAACGGCCAAACGGCCACGAGCAGGTTCCAGGGCGGCCCTCTCGCTCCGAGGAGGAGAGGCGGACCATCAACACTCGAGAGATTACCATTATCATTTCTCAGGAGCGTTGAGCGTGATATTGTTTCTTTTGCGAGCCCGAAAAGAAACGAGATTGCGCGAGAGGGAGAAGCAGTGCTGAGGAAGGTCTGGCCGAGTGAGCCGAGGCATGGCAGCCATGGCGGCATGGCCGAGGCGAACGTCTTTCTTCCAGTGTCGCCGACAGGACACTTCCGCTCGCAGGACACAATCTACGACCGGGCGGCCCTGCCCGGCCTTTCCCCTCTCCTCCTTAACGCCGCCAGCAATAAGCCCAATCGAACAGCAGTCTCAGCCCGCAGTGGTATGCCTAGCACGACTCTGTCGCCCGCCACGCCACGCTCCGCGCCCCGCCGCGCCCCGCCACGCCCCCTCCCTCGCGGCCGCGCCACGCTCCGCCACGCTCCGCCACGCCCCCTACCACCCCAGCAACGACCCGTCGCCCGGGTCCGGGGGTCCTTGGGTCCGGGAAACATAACTCTGTCCAAATGATGAGGCCGTCGCTTGCACCAGACCACACCAGACAACACATCGCTGCTCCGGACGGCCCGGGACGGCCCGCGATCCGCAAAGGGGTTCCAGGTCGTTCTCGGTGGAGGGGCCCCGGCGCCGGGAGGAGCGCAGCGGGGCTAGGGGGGGCACGCGGCATCCCTCGCGGACTCCGGCACGGGGAAGTCGGCAACGCTACATTGTGTCGCTGACGAATACAAAGCTGGCGATTAGCGGGCGTGCCCAGAGCGACGCGCCTTATTAAGACACGTACGCGGCGGGGCGGGGCGGGGTGGGGCGGGGCGGGGCGGGGCGAGGCGCCTTAAACTGTCGCGCTGAGCAACGGCACGGCTTAATGGGAGAGCGGGCCGCGCCGCGTACCGCGCGCCGCGACGCACCACAGAAATCGATGGCCGTGTAGTCGCGCCGCGCGCCGAGCATGGCTGTGGCTGTACTGGGCAGCTCCGGCCGCTTGCGCCAAGGCTTGGCTCACAACACACAGCGCGAGTCGCGGGGATTTGGCTCGGCCATGCCATGCCACGGCTTGGCGCGGCGCGACTTTCGGATTTGGGCTTTCGCGCGCTGCTGGCTTTTGATCTGGCGGATCAAAGACGCGATCGGGAAGGAGCGGCCGGCATGCCGCGGGGCGAAGGCGGCGAAGGCGGCGAAGGCGGCGAAGGCGGCGGGCACTCAAAGCAGCAGCGCGGCATCGCGGCAGCGCGTCGCACGGGGAAGCCTCCAGCCGAGGCTGGCAGCAAGCAAGCCGGCAGCAAGCCAGGCGAGCGCGCTCCGAAACTAAACTGGTGAATTAGCCGACTCCAGCTCGGGCATCCACTATCTCGCCGCGCTGGCTTGGCTGCCTTGGCTTTGCTGCCTTGGCTTGGCTGCCTTGGCTTAGCTTGGCTGCGCGCTCTGCTTTTCAACTTGCCGAGGCGGGCACGGGCAGGCTGCTCTCGACCTCGCTACACACCGCTACTCTGCGGGGTGGATCAGGTGGCTTTCCTCTGTCATCCCACCCAATGGAAATGGAGAAGAGATGGGCTCAAATATTGGGCAGGAGTGAATAGAAACGTAGAATAAGGTGTGCCAGCCGGATGTAGGGTTAGAGTTCAAGTGTGCCGGTACCATCCTGGTACCATTGTGGTACCATCCTGGTACCACTGTGGTACCATCCTGGTACCACTGTGGTACCATCCTGGTACCACTGTGGTACCATCCTGGTACCACTGGGGTATCCCGATGTGGTACCATCCTGGTACCATTGTGGTACCATCCTGGTACCATTGTGGTACCATCCTGGTACCATTGTGGTACCATCCTGGTACCATTGTGGTACCATCCTGGTACCATTGTGGTACCATCCTGGTACCATTGTGGTACCATCCTGGTACCATTGTGGTACCATCCTGGTACCATTGTGGTACCATCCTGGTACCATTGTGGTACCATCTTGGTACCATTGTGGTACCATTGTGTTACCATCATGGTACCATTGTGGTACCATCTTGGTACCATTGTGGTACCATCTTGGTACCATTGTGTTACCATCTTGGTACCATTGTGGTACCATCCTGGTACCATTGTGGTACCATCCTGGTACCATTGTGGTACCATTGTGGTACCATCCTGGTACCATTGTGGTACCATCCTGGTACTCTTCGATGAATCCCATCCAAGGGCATGGGGCACTCACCCAGAAGTACTGGCTCTGGAAACCGTTGATCCGGCGGTGGCTGGCGCCGACCTGGCCCAGGTACGAGAAGAAGGAGTCCATGTCGTCGAGGCCGCGGATGCCCTCGTCCAGCGTGCTCATCACCTTGGTGGCGTGCTCTTGCAGCTCCTCACTGCTCGCTTGCTGCTCCCGCGTCTGCAGCGCGATGAACTTCTCGAACAGCGAGAGTAGCTCCTTGTGCTCCTCGAACAGCCTGCGCAGAGAGACGGGAGGAACGTGGGTTAGAACGTGGAAGTCTTCTCGAGGAACGGAGAATCCATGGCCGACGGTGTCTTCGTCTTCATCACAGTGTACTCAGTGGAAATGGGACAAGGGCACGGACTGTACGTCTGCGCGCGCAAAACTTGTTCGCGATAAGTGTGTTTGTCGAGCGCGACAGGTGACAACCCACCACCGTCGCACCAGCTGAAGGCAAAACCAGGAACAACCGAGTGCGGAAAATTCAGCAACCTTCGGTAACAATAAGGTAGGACCTCCGTGGGCCCGACCAAGAAGGATGGCTTCATTCTGAACCGCCACTGTAAAGTGGGGACTGTGGCGCCACCTGTGGGCCGTGACGCCAAAGAGCGTCGTTGCGAGGCGCCGCGGAGCTAACCAACCAGCACTTTGGCGAATCGTCCCTAAAATGACACCAGTGCGGGTTGCGGGGGAAGGCGCCCAAAAAGGGGGAGGGGTGATACAATTTCACGAGAATCAACCGTCATTTGCCTCGGCTTCTTCCTGCCTGATAGAATTCCCGGCGCCACGCTCCGCCACTCCACGCCCCGCGCCCTGCCGAGGCCCCGCCGCCACGCACGACCGCCTGGAGGGAAGCGCGCGCTTTGAAGATCGCGGCGGGGACTCTTATGTCGGGGCGAATTTCACGGCGGGGGTGGGGTGGGGGCTGCAAGATCAGCGGTACGCCTCAAAGCAGTGAACCGAGCACTTCCGGGCGTTCCAGTTACCGCGGGGCGGGGAGAGGTGGTGACTCACCACATCACAGGGCGGCCCCACGAGCCGCGCACCGCGGGGGTCGCGCGGTCCACCCGCGAGCCCCAAGGCGGGGAGGTTGACACGCCAAGGGATGCCGTGCGAGAACGGACGCGGCCTCCTGGAGGAGGGGGCCCACTGTAAACTGTAAATACGACGGACACCGCCCCCTGCCTTTTCCAAGGGCACCGAGATGCGCGCGGTACAGTGGTACACGCAACCCGGAAGGCGCAAGCGCGCAAGCCTTGGCCGGCTCGGCCGCCTTGGCCGCCTCGGCGAAGCCCAGTGCGGAGGAATATTGCCCCGCCGGGCTGCCAGTAAACTACACAGCGGTGTGAGGCAGGAATTGCGAAATTAGCGTTGGCCGCTCGTTTACCCCCAAATATTTGCAAAGTTCGCAGAGCCGGGCAGCGAAAAAAAAGAAGACGAAGAAGCAGGAGAGAGAATCCCGGAGCGTGCTAGCGCTGCTGTAAGTCCCGTGCCTTCCCCCCGCCGCCCCGCAGCTCCGCTCCCCGGCGGTGAAATTCCTCCTTCTTTATCCCTTCCTCGGTCGGCCGGCCTCGGCCCTCTCAGCGCGCATCCCAGCGCGGCCCCCCGACGGCCCCCGCAAAGCGTATGACATGATATGCCGAACGAGCCCCGACTGGGCCGCCCCGGCCGCCCCGCCCCGCCCCGCCCCGCCCCGCCTCGGCCTCCTCCCGAGCCCGGGCCGGGCCTCGCCTCCCCCTCGCGCGGGCCTCGCCAGGAGTTAGGCCCCTAAGTGGAATGGGACCCCTGGGGGCAATGATAAGGGTTTCCCGTAGGCCGGGGGAGGGCTGGCTCGCGGGCCGGCTCGCAGCGTACACCACGGCCTGCCCGGCCCCGGCTTGGCCGGCGAGGCGTAGCCGCGGCGGGGCGCACCCTAACTCCAAGACAAGCCGCCAGCCTCCCCCATGGCCGGCAAGGCGCCGGACTGCGGTCCGCGGAGAGGACGGCAACGACCGCCTCGCCTCGGCAAAGTTGTCGAATAAGAAGCGTCTTCCCGGAGGCTGGACTTGCTGACTGCGGCGGTGCGCCGCGGCGGGGACGTGCATGCCGTCCACCGGGGAGGGGAGGCGCCGATTGCCGACAGGTGGTCGGGCGGGCTGCCGTTTAAGACGCGCGGCGAGGGGAGCCTTCATCACTTATGGAGCGCGCCGGGCACCGGAAGAATGAATGGAGAACGAAGAAGCCTGCAAAGCGCGTGCCAGCGGAGGCCGAGATCACCCAGCCGAGCGAAACGTTTCGGAAGAGATGTTTGTTATCGCGCGCCGCGAGCAGGCTGCAGGGCGGCCACCCCACTGCCAAGTGGAAATGCTGGCGGTGGTGCTGCGCCGAGGGGCCGAGGGGTGCGCGGCGCGTGCACCTGTACCAGCAGGGAGCCTGAATGGCTCTCGACGCGTGTGCCACGACGCCTTGCCGCGACGCCTTGCCGCGACGCCTTGCCCCGCACGCAGCCCAGCCCCCGGCCCGCGCGCCCCTCGCCGCCAAGGACGGCCGGCGGCACGGCGTGGCGGTGCAGGGCCCGGCCCCGCTCGGCAGGGCACGGCGCCGCGGGCAGCACCCCCGTATCGACCAGCGTCTCATCCCCGCCCCGCACCGCCCCGCCCCGCCCCGCCCCGCCCCGCCCCGCCGCGCCCCGCCCCGCCACGCCCCGCGCCGCGCTGCCCCGCATTGTCACGTGAGCGTTATTTTTTCATCGGCCAGACAGACACCTGTACCTCGGTCCCTCAGTCTTCGTCGCCGGCCCGCTTGGCCGCCATGCTGCGGCCTGCCCACCCCGAGGACGTCGCCGACCGCCGCGCCGGCCGCCACAGGTGGTGGCCGATGTCCGTTGCCTGGCCTTAGTGGGGCACGGTGCCGTCCAGGGCGGCAGCCAGGCAATCTACCACAAGTCGTTGCCTACCTGCTCCGCGGCCCAGCCCGCGTCCGAGACAGTGGGGTCGGGAGACCACTCCAGCACATTTTCCCTTTCAACTTTTTGTTGCGGTCGATCGTTGATGCCTCGATGATGACACACTGGGTGGGCTGTGCGTGTGGATGTGACACACGGGAACGCCCCTCCGCGGCCTCAGCGCCCCGCCCGCCCCGCCCGCCCCGCCCGCCCCGCCCCGAGGCGAAGAGGGCGGAGCGGAGTGGATCGGGAGTGGAACGGCGACGACACACCGACCGCGGTTAAAAGCGCCACGTGCGCAGGCAATGCAGTGCTTTCCTTTTTTCCCCGTCCCGTTTGGCCCTCGCCGCCATCGCCTCACCGGCGTCTTCGCTCTCGCCGGCCTCTCTCTGCGCCGCCCTGCGGATGGCAATTAACAATACAATTTCCTCCTTATTGTGGCCTCGCTGGCCCCGCTGCCTCGCTACCTCGCCCCGTCGTGACCTCCACGACTACCCAGCCCCCCTCCCCCCGCGTCTGCCAACTCGGCCACCGCCTCCCCCCCCCCTCCTCGCTCTCCGGGCCCAACCTCTCTGATTGCAAAACGGGGAGCAAGGAGACCAACTTTCGCAATGCCGCAGGGCTCCGGGTGGCTCCGGGTGGCTCCGCCCGGCCCTGCAGAACGCGTTTCCAGCATCGCCAATCAGCGAACTCGAGTAAAAGTGACCGCCCGGGCCGCCCGGCTCGGGTCCGGCGCGCTCACCACCTCCCTTTCCGGGGCCAATTACCGCCTATAGTTGCAGCCGACGACAAGCGGCAGCGGCCCGGCGGCCCGGCGGTCAGCGCCGGGCAGGTAGACCTCCCCGCGCTGGGGACGCAGCCGTGCCTCGACATTGCCTACCTCCCAGGCGCTCCGAGGGATCCAGGGACCACGCCCTGGTCCTCGCCCCGCCGGCACCCAGCCACACCCAGCCACACCCAGCACCTTGTCGGGCCGAGCGCTGCTTCGCCCGAGTCGCTTTGCTGAGGAAGCGTTTTCGATTCGCGAGGCTCCCCCTTCTTCGTCCGCCCCGATCCTCGCCGACAGGCTGTCGCCGCGTCGCGCCCCACCGCAGCGATGCCGACGAGTCGCTTTGTCTCTGTCGCACACACGGGGCCGAGGGGGAAATCACTCTTAAAAACTGTGACCCGACTACTCCCTATTACGTTCTATCCTGATTTAGGCTAAAATCGGACCCTAAATAGGGGAAATTTTAAGATATTTGGCTATTACGCTATTACTATTACGCGTAATACCAGGAATCGGTGACCCGACTATTACGCGAGTGGTTTCCCCCTCGCACGGGGCGCTGCGTGGCGGTGCGAGAGGGACGGCGAGCGACGACTCGGAACGCCGCGGCAGGGCAGGTCTGGGCTCAGTCCTGGAAACGAGTGCCACCGGCCGCGCGCCCGCTGCCAAGGTCCGTCCTCTGCCCTGGAAACGGGTTCCCCGCGAGGTTCCACGGCTCCGCAGCGGTTTTTATGATGCGCCGCTGCACAGCGGTACGCAGCTAGAGAGGCGGGCTGGGCGGGCGAGACGCGGGGGTGCCAGGCGGCCACATTCGCGGCGCTGGCAAGAACCACCCCCGACCGGCGCCGACGACCACCGCACCCTCTTTTGCTTTGTTTTCTCCACTTTTTGCGCTTTAATTTCTTTCGCCTCGGCGTCCGTTCCCGCCACTGACCACCACATCGTCGGCCAGCGGAGAAAGAGCGAGATAGAGAGAAAGAGCTGCCGGGTCGGCTTTTCCCCAACGCGACCTGTCATTTCATTTTTGCCGTCCCTTAACGCCGTGCCCGCAATCGTAATGACGAACTTTCCCCGCCCCGCCACTGCGTCTCGGCCCGGCCCCCAAATTCTCTCCGCGAAACAGGGCCGCGTGGGTGGGGTGCGACTTTGCAAGTCGACTACACTAACCACACGTTATTTCACCGAGGCAGCCGGCGAGGTGACTGGGCCGTCAGACCGTCAGGGCGGCACTTTGGCTGCAAGTAAATCATTGCATAATGTGCGCAACTTCCGCCATCGGAGTGGAGTCGCCCGGCTGTTCATCTCACTCTACTCTCGGCCTGCCTCGCCTGCTCCGGCACGCCGTCTCTCTCCCCTTCCCTCTCCTTCTGCCCTCGCCCCTCGCACGTCGGTCCGTCGCAGCTCCTGGAACTGAACTTGCTGGCGGCGGCGCGGCGGTTCTCGACAGACGACGGCGGCCAAGCGACAGCAAGCGACAGCCCAGCAGACTGATTCCGAGAGTCGTTTTCGTCGCTCTGTCTCGCTCGCGCTCATGGGGCGTTCT